TAAAAGAAAGCCCACTTTCTGAAAACACTAAAACAGAGCCTCAACTAAACACACGCTTCCCTTCTTGGAGGAACAGAAAACAGAGCCTCAAGATCAGGGGGCTGAAAATAGCCATGTTTCGGAGGCTCCCGCTTCTTCCCACTACCAACAGCCTTCTTCTTCTTCGGCGGCGGCGGCGGCGGACAGTTGAACACCGCTGGAATCCGACACTCCCATCGGGTCGGCGTCGAACACTCTTCCTCGTAATTTGCAGGCCCCTGTTTCGCCTCCATTCCCAGAGAAATGAACAAAGTATCTGGGAGCGGTTTGTTTAGTTGGTAGGGTTAGTAAGAAGGCGATGAAATTTCAAAACTCCGAGCAGTGGGCCGCCGTGGACGGTGGCGAAAAGAGGAGGAGAAGGAGGAGGATTTAATTTTTGAAATTTTGGTGGGTGTTGAGAGAGATAAATGGATGGCGGGGAGTGCCGGGATTGTGGGAGACAGCTAAGGGAGGCGTGGAAGCCGTCTACGCGTCAATCGTTGACTGGGTCTCCTCTCTCTCTCTCTCTCTCTCTCTCTATTACGATTTCCCGCTTTTTTTTCTTTTCCTTCTTTAACCTTTTGAATTTTCAGCTCACCTAAAAATAACATAATAAACTCATTCCACTTTCTAGCTGTGCCCAACGGGTAGAGTTACATTAAATTAAATTAAAAGTTTATAATATTTTAATTTTTAAAAAATATATTTCAAAGGGAGGCAAATTGGAAAACCAAGGGGGTGCAAATGCGATAATCCTAAATTTAGGACCAAATTTGTAATTTACATTAGTATTATTTTTCAATTAAAAAATATAAGGCGGTGAATGCGCGGCAAAAATACAAAACGAAAAGGTGTGCTTTAAATCTTGACCGTACGTCTCCATGATTTCGTCACCGCCTGTCACTTGATTCTGTATCTTTTTAATGTTTTAATCGGCATATGTAAAAGTGGGGTCCACGCACACCCATGGGACCCATCTTACACGAACCTCTAGGTGCCGTCGTGATTCAATTTACCTGCTCAGAATTAAAATTAACAATATAAAAAAGTAAAATAAAAAATTAATTCATTATCTGATCGTCTTTGGTTTGGGCCTGCGAATAAAGCCCACTATTACAGAAAAGCCCGTAACTCCAGACAGGATGATTAGGCCTCAGGCCCAACTCTTGACGAATCAAATGGACTACCAAGCCCAATAGAGTTAGGCTCCAATACAACAATCAAGCCCACTAAACAAATTCAATCATGAACACAATATTTGATCGGACCTTCTTTAATTTGACCCCGGTATCTATTTTCCAAAATAAAAAGTAATTATTTATTTCAAAAAAGCGAATATATATAATAATAATAATAAATATAAATATAATATATTTCTGTGTCCTTTTGAACATTTCACAGTCAACGAAAGCAGCCCACATACTCTTGTGTTTATTTATTTATTATTATTTTAAAATTATGAGAACTTCATTGGATTCCAAGTATACTGGATTTCTATATATAATAATAATATAAAAATAACATGAGGATTTAACACGAGGGCGGAAGTGGTTGGCATTGCTTCTTCCAAGCAACTGTAGATAAGGTTAAAAACCTTCAAAACGCAGCGTTTTGGCTTTGTTTGGAGTTTTCTTCCTTTGTGCACACTCAATTATATTCTGCCCATGGAGGATGGAAATATATGTTGATATATCCAATTAATCTTTGATATTCTTCATAAAGTTAAAAAAAAATAAATCATCTATTCATATTAATATCATTTATATATAATATTCAACCAAAATCAAATTCCAACTGTATGTATGGAGACAGTCATGTGAGTGTGTAGCGAAAATTAGTTAAATGAGTTGTAAGTTGTTTTGATATCACAAATTTGCTTAACAAAATAAACAAAAATATGTGGTGTAAAAGCCTTCGAATCAAAGCCAGTGATGCATGCATCTTATTGTTCTTATCACTTTGGGTATACATCATAGATCACGCATATTCACTTTATATATATATATATATATATATATATATATATATGTTTCATTGCAAAAAATAAAAAAAAATAATAATTTAATTACAAAATTTTATTTAATCAACCTAAGTTAGGTATATATATATATATAATTAATTAATTAATCCAAATTGGGAAATTTCAATGTGTATTAAAATTGAAACGTGACATGTTGACCATAGCTTAAAACCTTATGAGTACATTTTTATTAAAGTTGTCCACATATAAGTAAATAAAAAGGAAAATTAGATGCATATATGTACAAAACAAAATGGGGTTTCCTCTCCCACCTTAATGGGCTCCTTGTTGGAAAGTAGACAGGCAATGCATGAGGAAAGTACATATAATAATAGTAGTAATTATTATTATTATTATTCATCAGATATTATGTTTGTGTGGAAGCAATTAATTATATATATATATATATATATATATATATATATATATATATATAAAAGAGGGAGTAGAGTTTAATTTTCAAAAAATCAACAAATTATCAAACTGGGCTAATTAAATAATGAATTAAATTTACATTTTTGTTTCTCAAAATTTGTCCTAGTATTTGGGTGAATATCATAAAAGCATATAATTGTAAATATTGAAAATGGCATTTTGACTCAGTTTCCTTAAGAAATTGATTTCAGCTTAACGATGGTTACTTACTATCAAGACTGGTCGGTTATTGGTTGAGTTAGTGGAAGCCGTGCTTTTATTGACCTTAAAAGTCTTTGTTTTAATTAATTATTTATTTATATATAAACTAATGAAAGAAAAACATGAAATTGACATGTTTAATTAATGTCATATATTTACATAAAATAAACCAAAAACACATGGTTCATAAGAATTCAAATGCAATTTTTATAACATTACAAAAGTTTTTACTCGACCGAACTACAAATATTGGTTCATAAACTTTAATTTTTACTTAAAAGTAGAAATGATATCGCAAAAAGATTGGCAAAGGAGTTGTCATCTCATATCATAAAATCCATTATAGAGGAAGCACGAAATAATCTAGATGCATGCCCGAAATATCTAAATTATTAGCTTTACATAGAGAAATATTCATTTAATTTACCCTCCAATAATGGATACTAATCAACGATATGATTATGGGTCACATGAATGGTTGGATATAATATATTAATTATAAAGGAAATAGGATGAACAAATATATCAGCATGATCTATGTAAAATAGACAACTTACGTGTATAATGTTTAATTATAAAATAATCATTTGAATTTAGTTTTTAATGCATCCTTTGAATGAGTCAATTAAATACATGAACTTGCGAGAAGATTTTCGATAATTAAATTCAAATGTAATGATATTTTGTATGAATATTATTAAAATAAATAATACAAATTATAATGTTATATAATATAATGTCATGATCATAGCCAGCCAAATGGTTCACATAATAATTGAGAGGAAGAGTTGGGAAATTGTTCTTTAATAAGACCCAGCAGAGCAATTCCACCACCTTTCTCTCTTTTTCAATTTTTTATAAGAAAATAAATAAATAAATAAAAATTGTGAGATTTATAAGAAATGTTTCGTTCCGTTCTTCATTCGATGTGGGACCTCACAATCCATCTCCTTTGTCCTAGCGTCTCCGTTGATACACACCGTCTTCTCTGATATCACTTATAACAGCTCATACCTATTGTTGGTCAATATTGTCTTTTTAAAAATTTATCTTATGGAATTTAAAAAAGAGCGGTAGAATTAAAAGAGGTGAAATAATTTGATTAATAATTTATTTAGGGGTTGGTGTGTGATTCACTATTCATTTGGGTAATTTAATTTAATTTAATAATTCTAATTCCCCCAATCATTCACCTCTCAAGCGTGTATTGTGTGGTTTCTTTCGTACCCTTAAAACTTTTTTTATTTTTTCCTTAAAGCCCCTCAATTATTACTCTCTTGATATGATACCCTCGTCTCTTTCATTATTATTTTATTCCAATTATTTTTATTTTTTAAATTCTTTAGTCATTACCTAATAGTACCTAGAAAGATTAACCTTAGCAATTATTGTATGACACCTAATGTCACATTCTTATGGTATATATTTACGAGAATAGTGAGTTTTACTGTTAAAATTTTAAAAGGGATAATTTAAGAGAGTTCTTGAAATATTTTGAATTCAATTTCGAGTATTCATACACAAAAATATCTTATTCATAAGTTAACGAACAAAAAAAATATCTACAAAATTGATGAAAAGAATTAAAATTTGTGAGAAGTGAGACATTTGCGTATCGAAAGGACCATTTACGGAGCTCAAAGATTAAAAAATTGTGAAATGGGATTAAGATAGAAGTTAGGAGGGAGAATGGGGATTTGCTAGGGTTGCAAGATCTTTGCATCGCGTGTTGAACAAGAAACCATAACTAACCAATATGTTTATGCCAAATTATAACATTAACTCCTAAATTATTGCCTATTTGTCGTCTATTTCCTTTGTTTTTTTTTTATTCATCTCAATAATTGGAATGATTTTTTTTTAAATTTCAATAAACCACGTAATAAATCAAATTAGACAATATTTACTTTTGAGAAACTTTTGACGGTTATAAATGGTATCAGATACAGACAACAAACGATGTGTCAATGAGGATGCTAGCACTCAAAGTGATGGACCGTGAGATTCTATATTAGTTGTAGAGTATAACATAGAACCACATCTTACCATTTATTTATCCCTAAAAAGAGACCAAAGAAAAAAAAAAAAAAATATTGAGATTGAGAAGAGCTATATAGTACACAACGACTTGGAGCACCACAAAGTGTAGAAATAAAGAGGCATTGAGCGAGATAGGGGTGTGTGCAACTGCAAGCAACCACCATGCCCACAAAGTGTTCGAGGAAATGTCTGAACGAAACCAAACAGTTCCAAAGACACATATTTGGAGGAAGGGGCTGGCATATGAGCTGTGCTGTGTTGTTTTGTTCACACTCATCATTTACTTCAGAGATTGTACCATGTGGTCATCCAGAAGCCTCCATCAAATACAAGGTACCTCTCCTTCATACCCACCACAATTCTTTTCATGCACGTGTCAATTTCCTGGAATTGAACTGTCTTGATATACACAAATTTGATTACTATGATTATTCATTCCTGTGATTAGAGGTTATAAAAATTGAAGATTGTGTTTTAGAAATGATTGGTATTTGAATAGTTAAAATATTAGATTGAGATGTGTACGACTCAACCTGTGTATGATTGAGTTGAACACGTCAAGCAAAAATCATTGGTTTTTGCATTCCCCGATTCCCTCGCCCCATAACGTACCCAACCTTCCATGCCTAATTTTTATTTACTTTGATCATCACAGTTCTTCAAAAAATTAAACCCACCTTTTTGGTTCCGTGGCTTACAAAAACTTGGATAAAAAAAGAGGACCCAGATTCATTATTGGCGCATACAGCTGGGTGGGTGGCGCTGGGTGGACGGTGAAGGACCAGAAAGGACAAGGGATGAGTCCAGAAAGTACAAGGAACCCGACTGCGGAGACTGCCCATTATGCCTTTCAATTGTTCTTCATTATTAAAAACTCATTCCTTAGTTCATCTTCAATAAACTACGGCGATCCCTCCTTTCCCTTTGCCTTTATAAACCCCTTTAGCCCTCTCTTTCTCCTCCCCCACTCGCTCCATTCTTCATTCCTCTGTAACAAGCTTCTTCTTGTTCCCTCATTGTTCTATGGTTCTTGCTCTTTAAATCTCAGTTGGTATGTCCAGTTTCTTCTCATGGGGTTCTCTTATTTTGCTTTGATCTCTGATTACGGCTTCGTTTCTGAGTCATTATGAATTTTATATTGTAGCATTTGCTGGAGCCTTCCTGTTTTTGCCTGATTTAATAGTTTCTTCAACTTTTGATTCACCACTCAACGGCTTCTAAAATGGGTCTATGTTGAAATTCTAATTTGATTACATAAAAAAGGTGTGATTTCTTGGCTGGAATCCTTATAGAACCAATGAATGAGATTGCTGTGGACTCAACTTTTTCAGAGACTAAATTCTCCTGCATTCTTGAACAAACCGTTAAAACCTTGTAAACTGAACAGAGCGCATGTTGTTCAAGTTTACTGATATCAGTTTTGACGTTTCTTTGTTGTTCTTGATAGGATTTCTAATCAGGATGGTATTCGAGGACCGGTTCAGGCAGGCTCAGAGACCTAAATATGACTGTCTTCTATTTGGTAAGAATGTCTTAGAACAACCAAATCTTTTCTCATATGATTCTTTCTCTTCTAATGTGTTTGAAACTGCAGATTTAGATGACACTCTATATCCCTTGAGTTCTGGCATTGCAGCTTCATGCCTTCAGAATATCAAAGGTAAGATTACAAAGCATAATATATCAGCCTGGAATTCTTGTTGTGTTGAGATCATCATCAGTTTCTTGATGTTGTTTGTTATTGCCTTGTTTGTAGATTACATGTTTGAAAAACTGGGCATAGAGCAGAGCAAACTCCCTGACCTTTGCAATTTACTGTACAAAAACTATGGAACGACCATGGCAGGTCTCAGGGTATGACTCTTCTCGAACAAATTCCCAGTTTTCTAAATGCTTAAAAGTGTGAAGCTAATGGGGGTTTTTTCTTTAGGCAATTGGCTATGATTTTGATTATGATGAGTACCACAACTTTGTTCATGGAAGACTTCCTTATGATAACATAAAGCCTGATCCTGTTCTAAGGAGTCTTTTGTTGAGCCTTCCTTATAAGAAAGTTGTAAGTATTTGTATGTTCTTTAAGAAAATTATGTACAGGGCTCGAGATTGATCTTGCTGATATTTGTTTTTCTCTCCTTTTTGTATGTGGATAGATCTTTACAAATGCTGACAAGATCCATGCAGTTAAAGTTCTTAAAAAGCTTGGTTTAGAAGACTGTTTCCAAGGGATTATCTGCTTTGAAACCCTGAATTCAACCAATAAGAACTTTGCTTCAGTTGATAAAGATGAACCTGAGTGTTTCGGCTCCGAAATCTTTGACATCGTTGGTCATTTTCGTCAACTCAATCCTGGGGTGGAATTACCAAAAACTCCCATCATTTGTAAACCATCAGAAGCTGCCATTGCAAGAGCTCTCAAAATTGCAGGCCTCAATCCTCAGAGAACTGTAAGAGAAGAGAACCATCTTATTCTTCTCAGCTGGGAAGAACCATTTTATTCTTCCAAAATTTCTTAATTTGTCCCTTTTTCTGTTTTCAGCTGTTCTTTGAAGACAGTGTTCGAAATATACAAGCTGGGAAGCGCGTCGGGCTCGACACCGTCTTGGTAAGGCATTTCGGTATCATGAGGGCAGTTCCTGCTGAAGATTTTTGACATTGTTGGCTAATTTGTTCAACTTTTTTTAAAAACTACAGATTGGCACTTCACAGAGAGTTAAAGGAGCAGATTATGCCTTGGAAAGCATCCACAATCTTAGGGAAGGAATAACTGAGCTTTGGAATGTTGAAATCAAATCAAACAAGGGTTATGCTGGCAAGGTTGCAGTTAAAACTTCGGTGACAGCTTAGAACTATAACATCCATGTTATGTTCTTCAACCCTTCCCCAAATGAGAATGAAATAAAACAAAATAAAAAAAAAAGGGGAAATCTTTGAGTTCCAGTTTTACTAGGCAGATGTGTTGTAACTAATCATTTTGATTATGAGAGTAATGTTCATGTGTAATCCTTTGTCTTTCTACAAAAAACTTTCATAATCAACTCAACGTACCTAATAGATTCACTGAAGATGTTCATGCTACTTTCTAATAATTGAAAAATAGATGTTAATGAAGTTCAATGAAGCGAATTCTATAATCGGTACACAAAACGAAAAGCATATTATGTAAGAATCTTTGTCCAAAATGGGCTGAAATTAAAGAGAAGAAGAGTCTGTTACCAATTTCATTACAGAAAGAAACCAATTTCCAACATTTGGGCTTTTAGGATAATTGGACCATCCGTTTCTGCCCACATAGGTGATGGTTTTAAAATTCATATATATACATTAAGAATTGGATAAAAATGACCAATAAAGAAATTAAAGTACTCTCACTAAAAGCTTTTAGAAAAGCAAATACAATTATGATCAAATTATTTTCTTACTCATTTGAAATCACTTTTGGTTGAGTGGAAGAACCAAATCTATAAATCATTGTTCCAAATAATCACTTAAAAAAAAAAAAAAAAAAGGTCCTAAGAATATGGTGTTGAACACAACTCACTGTGGGAAACACTCGCTCTCTTTATTAAGACCAATCGAGAAGAGAATACAAGACACTCTGTAGAATACTTCTGCTTTTTATTGTTTTTAGATTTCTTGGATGAATAACCTAGGTAGGGTGGGGGTATTTATACTAAGAGTAAACAATCTATATTTAACCAATCTAAATCTAGACCTAACCGATTTGAATCTAGACCTAACAAATTGAATCTTTCTCCTAAAATATCTACATCTCTTTCTCCTAAAATCTCTACTAAAATAAATATACTGGGCTCGTACAATTAGGCTTGACTCTATTGGGCTAGTACAATTATTGGGCTTGACTCTATTGGGCTAGTGATGATATTTCAACACTCCCCCTCAGCACTAGTCCTCATTCGCTGCATCATGTTGAGCTGACAGCGAAAGCTCTCATGTTTGCTAGTATTCAACCCTTTTGTAAACAAGTCTGCCACTTGGTCATCTGTCTTGATCTGCTGCATCTCAATTTCTTCCTTTAGGACCTTCTCTCTAATGAAATGGTAGTGCACCTCCACATGCTTTGTTCTAGCATGAAACACTGGATTTTCTGCAAGGCGAATCGCAGATTGGTTGTCGCAAAGAAGTGATATTGGATAGTCAATTTTCTGGTGCAAATCTTCCATCAAGAGTTTTAGCCATGTACTTTCCTGGGCTGCTCCAGCCGCTGCTCTATACTCTGCTTCTGTAGTTGATAATGATACTGTTGGTTGTCTCTTGCTACACCAAGAAATTGTTCCCGAACCAAACTTGAACACATACCCAGTGGTTGACCTCCGAGTATCGTGGTCTCCTGCATAGTCAGCATCACAGTATCCAACTAGCTTGCAGTCTTTGCTTCTTTTGTACAAAAGACCATAGTCGATTGTACCTTTGATATATCTCAAGATCCGTCGAGCTGCATCCAGATGAGGCTTCTTTGGACTTTGCATGTATCGACTCATAACCCCAACTGCATACGAGATATCAGGTCGAGTTAAAGTTAGGTAGATAAGACTACCTACTAGTTGTCGGTACGTTGTTTCATCGTTCAACTCTTTGCCTTCATGTGCACAAATCTTGGCATTTATCTCCATCGGTGTTGAAACTTGCTTGCACTCTAACATGTTGAACTTCTGAAGCATGTCTCTGGTATACTTTTGTTGGCAGAGAAACAGTCCTTCATCTGTGCGATCAACTTCTAGGCCTAAGAAGTGTTTAAGCTCTCCTAGCTCTTTCATCTGAAAGCGTATTGATAAATTTTCTCTTGTTTGATAAATTTCTCTTTCATCGTCCCCGGTGATAATCAAATCGTCCACGTAGACCAACACAATTGTCAAATTTCCTTCTCTTTCTTTGATGAATAGGCTTGAGTCTGCATGCGCAACTGAATAACCACTTTGGGTAAGAAATTCAGCAATCTTACCATACCAAGCTCTCGGTGCTTGTTTCAGTCCATAAAGAGCTTTTCTAAGCTTGCATACATAATTAGGATTAGCTGCACTCTCAAATCCCTTTGGTTGGTTCATATAAATCTCCCTGTCTAGCTCTCCGTGCAAGAAGGCATTCTTCACATCCATTTGCCACAGTTTCCAATCTTTACTTGCTGCGAGTGCTAGCAGAACTCGTACGGTAGTAATCTTTGCCACTGGACTGAATGTTTCATCATAATCTAGTCCATATTGTTGAGAAAATCCTCGAGCCACGAGTCGAGCCTTGTATCTCTCGATTGATCCATCCGGTCGACGCTTTATTTTATAGACCCACTTGCAAGAGACGGGTTTGATATCTCCTAGTCTTGGCACTAGTTCCCAAGTTTGATTATGCTCCAAGGCTATAATTTCTTCCTCCATCGCTTTCTGCCAAACCGAGTTTTGTGATGCTTCTTCATATGTCTCTGGTTCGTAAACTCTATCTTCTACAATAGCTGCATTTGCATACTTAGGATTTGGCCTTCGGATTCTATTTGATCGCCTAAGTTGTTGATGTGTTGTTTCATTTTTATCAGATTCGCTTGATTGAGTCACCTCCTGCTTGTCAATATCAATGTCGCTTGGACTTTCAGATGCATCGAAATTTGATTGAATTTGTGTAGTTTGCTCCCCCAGCTTCTGTTGTAGAATTTCTTCAATGTTTGAATCTGATAAGACTTTCTTCTCCGAGGACCACCATGTAGATGCTTCATCAAAAACTACATCTCTTGATGTATAGTATTTTCCACTTGTTGGATCACAGCACCTCCATCCTTTTCTTTGATTGTCGTATCCAACAAATACACACTTGACTGCTTTCTTGTCAAACTTGCTACGTAGATGGTCAGGCACAAATACATAGCAAACACAGCCAAATACTCGGAAGTAACTAATTGTAGGTTTCATATCCCATAGTATCTCAAATGGTGAGACGAACCCTAGCTTTGGTTGAGGAAGCTTGTTGATCACATGGGCAGCAGTTCGCATAGCTTCAGCCCAAAATCTTCCTGGAACGTTCTTTGCGTGTAACATGCTTCGACAGGTTTCTGCAAGGTGTCGATTCTTTCTTTCTGCTACACCATTTTGTTGTGGCGTGTTGGCACATGTAAATTGACGTCGTATCCCACACTCGTGTAAATATTGATCGAACTCATCTGACGTGTATTCTCCGCCATTGTCTGAACGTAGACAACGAATCTTCGCTCCTACTTCTCCTTCGACCATCATCTTGAATTCTTGAAACTTTGAGAACGTGTCAGACTTTTCTTTCATAAAGAAAATCCACACATATCTTGAGTAGTCGTCAATAAATGTCACCATATACCGCATTCCGCTGATCGATGCTTGTTTGACTGGGCCGAACAAATCAGAGTGAACTAACTCTAATGGTTTCTTTGCTTTGAAACTTGACTCTTTGTATGGTAATTGATGAGCTTTACCATACTGACATCCAGCGCAGACAACGTCTGTTTTGACTTCCAGTTGTGGTAGACCTTTGAGCATAGATTTCTCCATAATCAGCTTCAACTTATGGTAGCTAATATGTCCCAATCTTGCATGCCATAGATCTGTCGTCTCATTCTTTCGGGTCTTGTCAACATAGGCAGACTCTGCAGATAGAACGTAGACAGACTCCACTCTTCGTCCTTCTATCGTCGGCTTTCCTATTATCTTAACATCTTGATAAACTTTTACATCTTCTGGCCCAAACAAGACATAGCTTCCTGATGTTGTTAGTTGTGACACTGACAACAAGTTCTTCTTTATACCCGGTACATGATAAACATTATGTAGCGACACTGTATCAGACTTATTGCCAGGCATGATTGTCGTATTGCCGATTTGAGCAATTGATAACTGTGTGTTATTTGCTGTACGTACCATACGACTTCCTTTGTACTCTTTCTTGTCTTGCAATTTTCTCTGATCGCCAGTCATGTGATTTGAACATCCTGAATCAACGATCCAGTCATTCTCATAGTTGATATGGTCTTCCATTGTCGCCATGAGTGCTAGCTCGTCTTCTTCTATGGGACATAGTACCTCTGCATCCCATTCATCTTCTATCTTCTTTTTGGATATTGCCACATTGTTTTCAATGGTCTTTTTCCTGGACCAACAATCTCTAGACATATGGCCCTTTTTCCCGCAGTTATAGCAAATACCACCAAATCTCGTTCTTTGAAAACTCTTGTTGTCGTTCTTCTGAGCTCTCTCAGGTTGTGCAATCCCTTGGTGGCTTCTTCTTTTGTCACCATTGTATCCACGTCTGGTAGACGGCCTATTATTGCTCTGACTTTCACTCGTGTAGAGTGCTTCTTCACCCTTCAACGTGAAGCCTCCCATTTGTTTAGCCATGGCTTCTTGGCTGGCTAACAAATTTTCGAACTCTACCAGTGATGGTTGAGTGGGCCATCCTTGTACAGCAGCAATGAAGCTTCGATATTCTGGTCGCAATCCGTGGATTATAATCCTCTTCATTCGAGATTCTACAATGGCGGACTTTGGGTCTAGTTCAGTAATCTCCCGACAGATCGATTTGACCTTGTGGAAGTACTGAGCAATCGTCATATCACGTTGTGAAATTGACAACAACTCATTCTCCAGAAGTTGTAGTCTCGTATCATTCTTCTTTGAGAACAACATCACGAATGTGTCCCATGCTTCTTTCGGTGTCTTGTCATCCCAAATATGTTCTAACATCTCTTCTCCGATGGTGGTCTTCAAGGCAAACATTGCTTTGCCTGCTTTGATTCTCCATTTGCGCAAGGCGTCGTTAGAATCCTCCTCTGGCGGCGTAGTTTCACACCCGCCAACGATCTCCCAAAGATCCTGTCCTTGTAAATAGGACATCATGCATGTTGCCCACGTGTTGTAGTTGTTGTTGTTGAGTTTCTTAATTCCTCCAACGATTTGGAAATCACTCATCGTGTTGGCCATACCTCAGTAATACCAAACAAGTTCTTTTGACACAAGACTTGCAGAGTCACAGAC